TCTTCAAAATATGAATAATACATGTTATGGATTAATTACAAAAAAAAAAAAAAAAAAACTTATGTGCAGAGAGCTCACTACTTCTTTCCCGGATCTTGTAATTATATTGTTTTTTCCCTTGCATCGCATCGTGAGGAAGCATATTTTTAGCAATCGCCAAGGAATACGTGCTTGCAACCCTTCCCTCGAGGGCCTGACCAAAGGCGCTCTCCAGACATCCCCCAAAAACGAGACCATAAGGATGAAAGAAATAGATGCCAGGTCAGCAACAGGTCTTGCTGTCGTAACTTTACTGGAATGTTCTGCGTCTGCCATTACTCTCGTCCCTGTTGTGGCTTCCCGGTGACTCATCATACCTTTTTCCTTCTTCGTGGTCCTTTGTCTCAAGAGCAATAGCTTTGCACGGGCCTGACGCTACTCACCACGCACGTCGCGGCCTGAGCCATCGCGAATCACAGATCCGACGTGGAGAGAATTCGGGCTTCGTAAGAAGCCGTGTCCGCGTGGCTGCGACCTTCTTTTATATGTGGCCTCCGCCGTCGCCGACTCGCCCTTTCTAAGCGGCTCGCGTTCACGGCGGCGCGCGAGGACAAAACCACCTTTAATCCCACCGAGAGCTCTATCTTGGCTTGTTTTTGAGATGGCTCGGGAAGATAAATTTAGAGGATTATTTTAATGTGCCTTCCATTAATATTGATCAATTGTGTGGGAATAAATGTATTTATTATTTAGATAAGGTAAACCTCGTTGTTGCGAAAGGTTAATCAAGTACTTTTCTTGCACGGAAACCGTTATATTGCTTGCAAGCTCTTAATTAGAGTTAAAAGAAGTGACTTATCAAGTGATATAAACATATAAAAATCCATCAGATATTGAAATACTGGGTCTTTTATAAAGGTCTCCCCCAAATGATTCCTGTGAACCTCGAAGCTTTTCATGATACCAAAAGCGCACCAAATTTAAACATCCAAGTCGCTCCCATGACGCAATGCCAACGTGCTTCATTCCAACAGAAAATGTAATTCCACCGAATATTTATACTTAATATATAACCAATTCAAACGAATAACCAGCATTTTCCTAGAAACCGCCATTGATATAGACACGTAATAGCGTGGTAGAATCAGCTGATCGTGTGTTGGCACAAGGAACGGAAGTCGACTGATAGCTATTCCAGTAACGACACGTTACTTGGTAAAATAATCAATGGTTCTGGGTTTCGGATGTGTGGTAAAGTGTGTCAGCTTATACACTATGCCATACACGTGTTTACTTTGGGAATAATGATTCTGTGATGAGAATAGGTGATAAATATATTGTCCACATATTTTCGCTTGGACAATTTAGTACACAATTAAATCAGTATTCTTTTCGGTAACATAGCGATGTTAAACTAAGAAGATAAATCAAGAGTTAATATGATGTAGGTATGATATAAGGCATTGAGATGATAGGCAAAAAATAATGACAAAAGTGAAACAAACATTTTTTTGATCATGGAAATAATTAGAAAAAAGTGTCAGCTGATATTTTGCTCACTAGTAATGTTTGTGTGTGATTTCAGGGTAAATATCTCAATCATCCAAGTATTATAGAGTTATACAAAGAATCACATGTATCCTGGAATCATTGCTAATATATTTCTAAAATATTTTGTTCTCTAAGAATACAGTAGTATATTTTAAAATTATATTTGCCTTTCAGTTACTTTATTTATTAAGTAAAAGATAACACATTTATCCAAAATTACAAAGTCAGTTAGATTTGGAATTTAAATAAAGACCTGTTTTACTAACTATCCTTCACACAGATAGAATCGTAAATAGAGAATTAAACAGTAATAGTAACTCTAATAAGAGTAACAATAATGATTGAAGAGCATTCATAATCTGAACAGTAACTATCATGATAATGAGTACTTTATAAGAGAATGGTAAAAATAATCACTCATTAAATTACAGAGGCAACATTTACGACAAGAGCCACAATGAGTTCTCGTCCTCTTGTGTTCGTCACAGGAAATGCCAAGAAGTTGGAGGAGGTTGTAGCCATTCTGGGAGACACATTTCCCTTTAAGTAAGTCGTGGTTGGTGGTTTGGAATACAAGAATTTTTCAACTATGATTCATTTTTGAGATTACTGGGTCAACTGCGATACCATCAGTGTCAGCATCATGATTGTTATTAATATCATAATTTTGACATAATTATTATAATCATCACCTAATATCCTATTGTACTTATTTAAGCTATATCTGATTTTTTTTTTATCACAAGTGCATATCCCAAAGTCGCAAGAAATACTTTAAACCTTTAGCTGCTAGGCAAAATGAGCCCCAGGCCAGTTACCATTGCTAGCAGTTTTCAATTTGATTTTAATTTTACCCAAAATATTTAAAGGGATCCAGAATATCACAGACAGCAGTAAATTTGATTCTAAGGAATAGAAAGTACTTACCCTAAATACTAGAAAGACCTTATACTACATGAAGACTAGGAACATGGTGGCAGCACTGTGATGCCTATGCTGTATGCCCTCTGGGTGGTCCTCGGGTTAATTATTTATTAAGGTTTGTGTATAGCGTCCAGATATTAGATGTTAAGGCTTTTATTATATTGGTACTTTTACTTTTGCTTTTTAGTCTTTACCTTTTACACTTTCATATATCAGGAGGATTCTGCTAAGGTAAAATTACATGCTCAAATATTAGGAAAAAATAGATATGGATGCATAACCAAAATTCAGAAAAAAAAGTAATTTGCAATTCTTAGTTTGAAACAAACAAATCATTTCTTTCAGCAATTTGCAGATGTATGATATGATGCTTATTTTTTCCCATATGCCTTATGAAAGTTTTGGCATAGCAGTTACCAAGACCCCTCATATGCACATTAAACTGTCCAAATCCAATGTAAATATCTATAATTTGCCTATTTGACCACCACACTGATTCATACCTACATATTTTGTTGCTATTTAAATACTGCTTATACAGTTTCACTTTGGCTCAAATCATTCATCCATTGTGAAATGTAAATTGTTCTTTATATATTTATTGTGTGCAGAGTTGTTGCTACATATTAATAGATTAAGGGGGCATAACCCTTGCCAGACTCCTACCATAATATATTTAAAAAATGTAGTTGTAAGTACATTTAGCAGTATATTGTTCCAAACAGAGTTGTCAGCCAAAAGATAGACTTGCCAGAGTACCAAGGTGAAGCTGATGAAATCAGCCGCAAGAAGTGCCAAGTAGCAGCAGAAATTGTCAAGGCTCCTGTTATTGTAGAAGACACATGCTTGTGCTTCAATGCACTAGGTGGTCTCCCAGGTATGTTTTTCCAAAAGAAAAAGTAAATAATTAGAATTATAGAAAACACATATATAGCTTTGATTTGTTAGCTGATACCATCAATATGGAATATAAAACATTTGACATTAAAGGCAAATAATGGGACTCATTGAAATGCTATATAGATATCTTTCATATCAAGTAAACAGTCTAATTCTGTTTGTTTAGAACACAAGCATACTTGCAGTTTATAAAACTGCTTCTGCATCCAAGCAACTCATTTACGAATGATTTAGCAGAATACTAGCAATGATACTGCATAAATGAAACATGTGTTAAACAAATGTATTCATGATTATGGAATGATATTTTCAGGACCGTATATCAAGTGGTTTTTGGACAAGCTTGGGCCAGGTGGCCTGACAAAGCTCTTAGCAGGTTTTGAAGATAAGGTAAGATATTTTAATTGATAAAATCCTTTTTTGATATATCTACAGAGTGGGGTTCCAGTCTCGGCAAATGTTACTGACAGTCTTATAGGGCCTTATATCATTTAAAGACTTTGAAATATGTTGAGTAGTGAAGGCTGGTAATGCCTGCTTCTTCCTTCCAAGTAATCTTTAATTTCTTTGATTTATGTTGATCGTCTAGTAATCAGGTAATATACTACACCTGATCTCACAAAATAGATTTATAAGTATAGTTTATCCAAACATAAGGAGTGAGGTGTAAATCACTGTAGTTGTGAAAGAGTATATCAGAATTACGGTATCATTGTTTATAGTATGTTTAAAAATCATTAATGTTACAAAGCTATGTATATTATTTTTTTATGTAAGTAAAGTAAATATGCATATCCTGAAATAGAAAACAAGTAAAGGTCATCACCTTATATCTGAACAGTTAGATTTATGATTGGAAACACATATTTGGTTCAGTTTATATTTAAGTATAAGTTTACCATAAAAAATTTCAGGTGGACATAGAAGATAGAGTGAACATAGTTTTACAATTAAAGAAGTTCTTGTGGGGAAATATTTATATTGGCTTGATTAGCATGAGATAAGTACATAATTTATGATTTAAAAAAATATTGAGAATAAGAGGTTCATTGCTGTTTTGGAAATTAAATCCTTTTATTTGTTTACTGTCATTTTTCACTTTGGAGTTGACTTTGATATTGCAACTGTGATTATATTCCCAATAATAGAATAGTTGAAAAAATAAGATTTTATTGTTTATACACTGCAGTATATGTCCTTTCCAGTACCATTTTATTTTATTTTTTCATTGGCAATTCTACACATTATGATGTATCTCAGTTCAAGATGTAATAAAGTTTGAATATTTTCCAGTCTGCTGAAGCTGTGTGCACATTTGCTTACTCATCTGGAGAACCCAATGACGAGGTACTTTTGTTCCATGGTCGCACCCAAGGTACCATTGTGGAGCCTCGAGGGGAGCACAAGTTTGGATGGGATCCCATCTTCCAGCCAAAAGGTTGGTGATGCAAGAATGCTTGCTAGTTTGATGCTCCTTTTGCTTTTCTTTGCTTACACAATTAAGGTATATTCTTAAACATTTATTGCTTAGTGCTACTTCATATCTTTTACCCTAGTATATATATATATATATATATATATATATATATATATATATATATATATATATATATATATATATATATATATATATATATAATATATAT